GGGGTGCTGTGAGCCCAGCCCAGGGCCCTCAGCCTCTGCCTGCCCACAGCCACAGGCCCAGGGGTGCTGTGAGCCCAGCCCAGGGCCCTCAGCCTCTGCCTGCCCTGCCGGGTGCTGGCCCCCAGCTCAGCCCTACCTGTGGAACACCTTGGCTCTGGGCCTGTGTTGGGCCAATGCCCTGGCATGGCCTGTCCCCATGGCCATGATGGAGCTGAGCCCAGCCCTGTGCATTGGCTTTTTATCCAGCCCTGGCCCAGGACCATGAGCCTGGTCCTGTCAGTGGGACCTGGCTGTTCTCTCTCTCAGCAGGACAGGCCCTGCCATCCTGGGCATTTCCTTGGGCCCAGTGCTGCAGGAGGAGCCACCATCCTGCTCTTCATCTTGGATTCAGGAGCTACTGCATGCACTCAGTCTTCATTCCAGGACTGCTGCCCTGAGGAAGGGTTGTGGCTTTAGACTCTAGTCATTAGTGCAAAGCTGTGGGATGACTAACATACCATATGCCCAAGTGTATTGTCCAAACAATATTCTTGAACTCTGTCAGGCTTGTGCTGTGACCACTTCCCTGGGGAGCCTGTTCCAGTACCCAACCACCCTCTGAGTGAAAAACCTTTTCCTAATATCCAGTCTAAACTTCTTGACACAAATTCAGGCCACTCCCTTGGTGTCTGATCATCACAGAGAAGAGATCAGGGTCTGTCCCTCCTCTTTCCCTCCCAAGAAAGTTGCAGACTGCAGTGAGGTCTCTCCTCAGTCTTCTCCAGGCTGAACAGACCAAGTGACCTCAGCCATTCCTCATATAAAGGGCTTCCTCTTGAGGCCCTTCATCATCCTCATGGGCTCATTTGGAGGGTCTCTAATAGCTTAATGTCTTTCTTATATTGTGGCACCCAAAGCTGCACACAGGACCGCAGGTGAGGTTGCGCCAATGCAGAGCAGAGCTCAGGCCTGCGCTGGTAGGGTGGTTGTCTCTTACATCCCTCCCTTCCCTTAGCTCTCTTTTGGCCCAGGCTAAGTAAAAAGCCTTGATTGGTAAAATTACTACATATACAGTATTTTAAAGATGTAGATTTTGTTTTCCTACTTCTTTTTTAAGTGATGGCACTGGTGGTTCCCAAAAAACTACAGATAGATTGCTTTATCTGAAATTCTTCTATTTCATCTGTTAACAAGAAATTTCTTGGGTTTTCCATCAAAAAATAGCCAATATCCCCTAGATTAATCAGGGAAGCTTTAAATCTAACATTTTAGTGTCTGCAAATAATCTCAATCATTTGTCAGTCTTATACCAGAAGATCCAGCACAGGTGATTTCTAGAAAACAATGGTGGAGTGGCTGTCTGATAATAGTGATCAGCAATACAAAGGCCCATTTGGAGTGTGACAACTGCTTTTCTGATTCACTCTCCCGAAAACACAGTGCCAAGCTCTGCATGATCAGAAAAACACACAATAGTCACCATCCATTAGTCAGTTCTTGCACATCTTTGTCTACCAGTTCAAATATTTTATTTACAGTACAAAACCTTTTAAAATTATGTATCTGTTTTCTTTTTTTGTATGATATGGAATTTTATGGAATAGCTAGATCGAGAGAAACCAGAAACCTGCAGTTTCTGAGCATGTATCACATTCAGAAAAGCAAGATGCCTGAAATTCTCATTTTTATCTCCAGGCAGATACCAGAGCAAGAGTCATGTAGGAGGAAGAAAAACTGGCAGAAGATCTAGATATGAAGATTGCCTAGTTCTGTGAGTGAAGACAGAACTTGCATTCCTGAGTACAGGAAGGCTGTCAGGTAACTTTCCACAGCTAGTATTTTTCAGTAGGCACTTACAGTGTTTTACGACTTTAGGATTTTCCTTGCAGTATGGAGGGCCCATGTTTAGTGTTGTTTCTCCTCTCATTGTTTCTGTATTTTTAATCTTTCTTCCCTAATCAATATTCAGCCAAATCCCTCCAAAGAGAGTCTGAAATCTTAATCACACTTCCTGTAATTTTTTTCTGGTTGGAAACCTTTTAGATGTCTTAAGGAGGTAATCTTAAAGAGAGGGCAGTGGTTAAAATCAGCAATGTCTAGCCTGATTAACCTTTATTGTTAGTTTTACAAAAATGTAAGCAAAAATAGGATACAGGAAGAAAGAACCAGCAGTTCTTGAAGACAAGTCTCTCTAATGCTTTCTTGCAAGTTGTTGGCAAAAGCCCAGGCTATTCTTTTTTATTATGAGATACTCAATTTTTGGTGCTGGAGGATAACCTTTAAACAAAAAAAAAAAATTCTTCTTCCCCAATTACCTGTCACTTATGTATTAGACTACATAGTGCTTGCACACCGTTTCCAGTCTTCTGCAAAGGCTGGAGTCTTTTGTGTGGCAGAGAAAAAAACACTACTTTTGTGAAGCTTTTGCTCATAGAAACAGGAAGCATTCTCTGCACTTCTTTGAAGGGATTCTTGCAGTTCCTTATCCCTAACATATTCTAGCTTCTAGGGCAGTTTTGAGATGATGGCCCAAAATATATTAGTCTGTCTTTCCCTTAAGATTGGCCTTCCCAGAGCCCATCCATCTCTCCTTAGAAAATGTACATTTCCAGTGCTGTTTAAGCACTGCTTAACATTATAAAATCATATCACTGGCAGAATGTAGTTAAGACAAATATCTTTATCCAAATTTCCTTCCAAGTTATCAAAAATCTGAGTAAATGTAAAGATCTGTAAATGTATAGTGGAATTGGAGAATAGGTTGCACAATGGCTATATTGTATGTCATTGTTCTGAGATACCATCAGAAAACTGATGGTAAATTTACTCTTACTACAAAGCAGAAGAAAGGAATCAAGACACACTCTATGAAAGCCAGTCAGCATAGCTGGCTGCAAGTGCTGACATTGCACAAGGTAAATACAATTTTATTTAACCCATCGGTTTGTTCTCAGCTCTGCAGCAGGAGGTTATGCAGAGTCCCACAAGAGTCAGATATGCAGATGTTCTCCTGCCTCTGAAATAGACATAATGATCATGCTGATGCTAAGAAGGTTGCAGGAACCTTCTGAGGAGGTGTCTCTAGAAAAAAGCTGTCCTCTCATATGGGAACAGGTGGAGGTAGTCAGGAGCCAAGGCCTATACAACTGTTATCAGAGATGGAGCACTACTTTCCTTGTGTATTAATGTTATCAGAAAGACTTAATCTAATCAGATTCTGACCAGTCTGGTCTAGTTGAACATGTCCTTGTTCGTGGCATGAGGGCTGGACCTGATCAATTTTAAAGATCCCTTCCAACCCAAACTATTTTATGATTCATTAGGTCAAGTTCCTTCCTGAACTGGCCTGAATTTAGTGAGTATGCACTGATCCCTTCTCAGTGGGACAACTTATTCTGAGTGTCAGGGAAAACTTCCTGATAGCAGTTTCTAGATGCTCTAGGTGACAACAATATCTTTGATTTCACTCCCAGCCCCACTATCCTAGTTTCACAGCTAACACTTCTACTAGCAGTGAAACATCAGCTGTGACTCTTCATGAGGCCTTAGCTCTTAATTTGGAGCAATTGTTTGGGTGAAAACTTTACTGGGCAACAGAAAAGACAGCTATTTTTTAGTGTTGCTTAACTTAATACACCTTGCTGTTCATGGCAGATTTGTGTTAAATGATCCACGTTGCTCTGGGATTTTGTCAAAACAATCATAAACATACAGGTAATAGAAACCGTCATTCATTCTGCATTGCAGAAGGTAAAAAAAGGGATTATTTACCTCAGATGTCTTCAAACACCCTTTTGTTATATTACAAGGACTAGAGCATAGAAATGTGCGTGTTCAGAACAGTGTCCAAAGGTTTTGTCTGCTTACCACGCCTGCATCTCAGGGAAACATTCTCCATGAATGAGCACCAACACTGTACAAGCTGTAGTAGTACCCTTCTACAGGACCTTCTACCTTCTTATGCTTCAGTTTTTCAAGTCTTGACAAGCCTGTGGATGATGTGGTTTGGTATTGGAGAGTGTCCTGCTTTAAGTGGGGGGTTGGAGCAGGTGACTTTCAGAGGACTCTTCTGACATTTTTTAATACTCTTTGACTATTACTTACCAGCACAATGGCAGCATTTGAGCAGAGAATATGATATTCCAAATAAAGCATACAGGCTATCAGGAAACTTTGGCCTCTGTTTAGGGGAAAAAATGTGGATGGAATTGAGGCAATGAGGAGACTAGTTTTTAAAAGAATGAACCAATTTGTGGGTAGATAAACAATTGTGGTCTGAAGGCTAGGATCCAAGGACTGCTCACCTACACTGTATCAGTAGTCAATAAGTAAAATGAAGGAACAAAAGCTTGCACTAACTTCTGACAGCCCCATTCTTGATGACTACATTTCTGTTACAGCTAGAGGAGCACTGTCAGAAGCTTTCTAGAATTATTATACTGATTGGTGCCAGCGCTATTTTAATTGTAGCAGTTGAGTCACAGATGATTGAATTTTAAGAATTGAACTGCATCCATACCTTTCTATTGCAACTCACCCTTTGCTCTGGTGGCTAGAAAATTTCAGACTGGTCTGATCTCTTAGAACAAAAGAAACCACGTTATTCCATATTATAACCCCACTGCAATGGGCTCAATTAAGTCTTCTGTGGAGTCTGAAGGCAATTACAGAATATCTGTCCTTTTTTCCCTTGGCATTCATAACCTGCACATCCCAATTTTTCTACCTAGTTGACAAATGCATTTTCTCATATGTGTATGTTGCATAATTCACCCCTGGAGGTATCTCCACATCTGTAGAGGTATGTGACAAGATAATCATCTTAGCATGCAAACAGGTGACTTTTGACAAAATTGTGACCCTGACTTGACTGAGAAATGCTCATAAAGCCGGGAAAAATGAAACTTTTCTCTTTCTTTCTTTCTTTCTTTCTTTCTTTCTTTCTTTCTTTCTTTCTTTCTTTCTTTCTTTCTGTCTTTCTGTCTTTCTGTCTTTCTGTCTTTCTGTCTTTCTGTCTTTCTGTCTTTCTTTCCTCTAATGTGTATGCTTTGAGCTTTTGGAAGCACTCTTCAAGCAGTTGTTTCCATCAAGAGAGGGTCATTGTTCCTGTCTGTGGCCACTATGTGCTCATTGTGTAGTACTCACAGTCAAGCGTGAAAAGGCAGTAACCCCAGCATGTGTGGGGGGATGTGCATAGACTTTCCACAACAGAACAGAATTTTGGTCCCTGTTTTAGGTTACCAGGGCAGAACAAATCTTTGTGAGAGAAGATAATGATGGTGCTCCAGAGGCACCTCTGTGGCTGTATGGTATGGCTGCATAGGCTGGGGCTGAGAATAGAAAAAAAACCCCTCTTTCACCCTTACAAAAGGGAAAACCAGAGATGACCCTCTCATGCAGAGGGCTGGGTCTCATTAACTCTGGCCTTGCAGGAGAGGAAGCACTGAGAACCAAAAAAGCCACATCATGAGAATGACAGAGAAGTAGAGAAGGGACACATGCAGATCAGCCACAAAAGCCCCAGGTGGCAGAGAAACTGCAGCCTACTTACACAGCCTCTTGCTGGAGTGTAACAGCATTATCATGAAATGTTTATTTCTAATGTCTAACTGAAGTTTTTCACTGTAGTACACACACATTATTTCTCATCTCTTCCAAACTCAAAAGATTATTTCCTTTTCTTTGCCAAGGTTTATTTTACTTTAAGACATTTATATTTCACATCAGTCTTCTCTAAGCCTAACAACTTCAGCTTTTACATTTCTTTTCCAAGATTTTAAAGAACGAAAGTAATTAAAGCAGAAAAATTAAATGAAACATAAATTATTCCAAAGGTAGATCATGCTGTGCTGATCTGATAGCTTTGATAAAAATTATTGTCTAGTTAAGAGGAATGCTATTGATTTTTCTCCAACTCCAGAAGAACCAGTAATACAGTACCAGTTTGGCAGTCTTGCAGCCGAGAGAGCACTTCTGGTGAACCCAGCAAAGACATTCAGAATCTTCAGAACTCAGACAAGCAATTGATGTGTGGTGTGATCAAAATGAAGGATTGAAAGGAGATGTAAACAATGGATGTAATATGTCAGACTTCTGAATATGGTGATTACAGCAAGGTAAGACTGCAGTTATTAAGGCCTGAGAAGAGCACTGTGAATAACTGGTGTGTGGGGGGCAACAGTCTAATTATGAGTTTTATTTTTCTGAGCCGTATTAAGAGAGGGACTATGGGGGTTTCTATGCATATTCTCCTTTCCTTTTTGTGTTCCTTATTGAATATTGCTTTTTTTATGCATAGCAAGTATATGTTGTTTTCCTTCCTTTCTCCCATCAGGAGAGAAAATATTTCTCTTCCAAATTCAGATCACAGCGTCAGCAGTTTTGTTTTGGAGTCGCATGCGCGCGTGTGTCTGTGTGTTTGGCTTCTTCGGTTGGTTCAGGTTCTTCTCAAGACTTTTGAAGGAATTTGATTATAAACTAATAAGAGCAAACCTTTTTTTGCATTGGTTATTCAAATAATCAAATTGAAATAGTTTTGAATTATGGAAAATCCAGCTGGCATATCAACCATCTAATGATTAGAGCTTATGCAGAGAATGCAGCCCAATGACTATTCCTGCTATCTGCTTCCAGAGGTCTTGCTGGTCTTTTATTAGAAAACCCTGTCACTTCAAGTGTTTGCCTTGACACTCAAACATATCAGTAACATATATGGGTATTATTGTAATTTTATTTTTTACATGGAAAATCTTATCCCTAGATCAAGTGCTGAAGATCACCCTGTTTGACTGTGACCAAGATTTTTACCCACCAAATGTTTGTTTGAGACACACCTGCACTTAGAAATTTATCTCTAGGAGATTTAAATATGTATCAGCCATTTTCATCAGTTTACTTGGGACAAATACTACAGTGCTTTGCAGTGGTAACTGATATTATTATGCTTCTGAACAACCATGTAAGTATGTTAATGTTTATCCATGTATGGAGGTAAAGGGTATACAGCTACTCCTACTTTAAACTTGTACAACTTTTTAGTGTTTTAAGATTTTTTTTCTTATAATCTTTCCCAAATTTTGTTGTTCAGATTAAAAATGTTAGTTTGATTTTCACGGGTTACTTTTTTCCAATTAAAACTTCGTTTATTTGGTATTTTCAAAGCAAGATCAAATGTACTGTGTTGCAGGTCACTGTTTTAGAAGATAAAGAATAAAAGACTGTAATGATAATGCCTGCTACAAACCATCATATGAGAAGACAGCATGCATCCAACCCTCTAGGCTCCAGTGTGTTATATTCCGGGAAAATACTGCATTTCAAATACTGATTAAATGAAATTGAAACTTTTCTCTGTGATTCTGACATATGCTCTTTCCTGGCACCAGCTCCAGTACTTTTGTTTGTACTTTATGGATGATATTGAAGATTGGAAAGGGTCATAAGAATAACTAAAATAACTGAAATGTGTTTATGTAGAGTACATTTCAAAGTTACCAGCTGCTCTTGGTTTCCTTTTATTCCTGTTTGTGTTTTACTTTGCAGAGCAAAGCTTGATGGCAGAAGTTGGTTCAATATGGCTGGAGAAGTGTTTAACAAGATTCTGGGGCTGGTGACTGAGTTTTCACAAATTCAAGCTCAGAAAAAGGTGGCAATTTTTATTAGGGATGACTCAAGTGATAGTGAGTTAAGATGGAAGAACAGAGGATGGATTCCTTTTCATTACAAATATTTAATATCATTACAAACAGGGTTGGGTTCTTTTTGGAGAAGAGTGTTTTAGCCCAAACATATATATCTAGTTTCAAGCAATAACTAAGTCTGATGTGAGCTGTGCAAGAGACTAGACTAGAAAACCAGAGTCCCTTGCCCCATGACATCTAGGAAGGCTTTCCCCAAACTAAAGGTTTCAGTAATTCCACTAAGAAGCTCTCATAAATCTGTGATGTGAGCCAAGATGGTACAAATATTGTTCTGGGCACAGGTCTTCATGATACTACATCTGTATTGGGGTGCTTTATATCTCTCTAAAAAGTCTCTTAAGTCAGTGACAAGCTGGATTTTCCAAATTTGCAGAAGCTGTGGGACATTGTACCACAAGGCAACACAATTGAACAGGCACTTTTTCCCTTTGCTGTACCTTCTTTTCCCACCATAAGTAGAAACAGAAGTACATTTAAAAAAACTCCACCAGAGAGTTGTTTTAAAAGACTGAGATGGAAAGATTCTCCTCAGTTTGCACCATGTTATTCTGCAAAAATACCAGCATTTGCTTATTTCCTTCACATCTGCAACACGATCCATTATTCCTTTCCTGTACCACAAACATTTTGCCCCATTCTTCTAACAAAAATATGACAGTAAGAACCCCCCCTAATTTCTCTAATACTAAAGTCACTTTTGCTGAAACATTCTGCTTAGCCTCCTTAATAATGAGGTTATTTTGTTCTATCAGCAGTACTCCTATTTTGTTCATCAAGGTTAGTTTGTTCTATCAGCAGTACTCCTTTGTAATTTAGGTCTTCTGCGTAGAAAAATTATATTCTGATTCTTCTCTAGGTATCACTCTCCTAAAAACAGTCATAACTGAAAATAATTGCCTGTATATCATACTTATGTCACAGTTGCTTTTGTTGGCACTTTAACTTCTAAAGATAATGTATAACTGATCCACTTGTGATTATATTTGATAAGGTGTTGTTCTGCCTCAGGGTACAACCTTAACAAAGGTTATCTGCAAATTATTAAATCTTATAATCTTATTAATTGTGATTGGCTAATAAAGTCCATCATTTACCAGAGGATTTCTAAATCACTGACAACAAAGAAACATACTGGGAGGCAACTTCCAGTGAACTTCTCTTGATTTTCTTCCATTTTGTTTAAATGTACATTAGGTAACATAGTGCTTTACCTCCAGAAAGCACAAAATTAGCAAATTTATCAAGAAAGTCACTTGCAATTTTGTATTTTTAATTGCAGCCATACCACTTTTAGGCTTTACAGAAATTGAAGGAATCAGGTTCATGCTGTGGACTTGGTTAGAGTGTTGCTTTTCTCTTTGGATAGGTGAGTACTAGTGATATAGGTCTTTAGGCAGTCACTGTGGTCTAGTGATGTGGTCTGATTTTGTTCTTCCAAAATGAACATCTAACTCTATTGCAGACTGCAGAGTCTCACTTTTGAGGCCCAAAGAGGGTGTGAAATGAACTAAAAGATAAGCCTAGGCAAGGCTACTGATGCAGGACTACAGGGCACTACTGTGACTCATATTAGACTTAAAACTCATGAGCTCAAGTTGCTGTTAGTTTCAGTAGGTAGTAAATTAGGCTTGAAGTCCAGCTTACTTCTTCCAATCCCCTTCCTGCCCATGACAAAGGGGCAGTCACAATACACAGGTTGCTGTGCATAGGACAGGCCCATATTCTATTTATGTATTCATTAGAGTTGAACAACTGTTTTCATAGAATCATGGAATGATTTGGGTTGGAAGGGACCTTAAAGATCATCTAGTTACAACCACCCTGCTATGGGCAGGGCCGCCTTCCACGAGATCAAGGTGTTCAAATCTTTATCCAGCCTGGTCTTGAGCACATCCAGGGATGGGGCATCCACAGCTTTTCTGGGCATGCTGTTCCAGTGTCTCACCACCCTCGTAATAAAAAACATCTTCCTTATATCTAATATAAATATACCTGCTTTCAGTTAAAAGACTTTGTCCCTTGTCCTATCACTACAGGCCCTATAGAAAAGTTTGTCCTCATCTTTCTTATAAGCCCCCTTTAAATACTGGAAGGTAGCAATTTGGTCTTCCTGAAGTCTTCACTTCTCCACACTGAATGATGCCAGCTCGTTCAACCTGTCTTCACAGGAGAAATGCTCTAGCCCTTTGGTCATTTCTGTGGCCCTCCTGTGGACTCAGTCCAAGAGGTTCATGTCCTTTCTGTGTTGGGGTCTCCAGCATTGAATACAGCACTGCAGGTGAGATCTCACCAGAGCAGAACAGAGCAGAGGGGCTGAATCCCCTCCCTCATCCCTCTGGCCACGCTGCTTTTGATGCAGCCCAGGGTTCAATTGCCTTTCTGGGCTGCAAACACACATTGCCAGCTCATGCCCAACTTCTCATCTACCAACACCCCCAAGTCCTCCTCAGGACTGGTCTCAATCATTCCATGTCCAGCCTGCCTTTGTGACTGGGATCGCCTCAAGCCAGGAGCAGGACCTTGCACCTGGTCTTGTGAACCCATGACATTTTCAAAGGCCTTCTTTTCAAGTCTGTCATGTCCCTTTGGATGGCAGGGGCTTCAGGCATCCCCTTGACAAGGGTTATTTCGTAGTACCATCAATGAGCTGCGAGAGAGTTAAGGACAGATATTTTAAAAATATTTAAAAATGCATTCTATTCAAGTATTTAATTCCTTTCTCCATCTTCTTCAATCCTTCAATCAGTGTCAGTCTCAGGGTAAACTCTATGCATACACTTTCATCTCTTTGAGTACTTCACATTTGCACTTTTATCCATCCTAACGTCACCAAACAGCTCTTGACACCCAGGCAGGCTAGAAGTGAAATGATTGCATACCACACCAGAAGAGGTAGAAATCAATGTATTTGACATCAGTGACTGAAATATCTCAGAAGAACTTCTCTGAGCTTTGAGTCAGACATTTTTTGAAGTAGAAATTGAAAGATTACATAGTGCAGGGACAGGGAATGGATGAAAGAAATTGTTTAAAATCAAGGAAGTTTTAAAAATTAAGGTAAAGGTCACTCAGCATACTTTCTTCCCTTTTTTCAGAAGTCAAACATTGCTAAGAAAAAATTTGAACTTGCTTGCTGAAGAAAGACCGCAATGTGCCGTGCTGTACGTATAGTATTCAAGGATACACCTTCTCTTTATCTGAGCTAAGGCATTAAGTAAACAGAAAGCAGTAAACTCAGCCAGACTTGCACAAAGCCGTGTTCAGCAGGAACCTCCAGAGACAGAAAATGTTGTAGAGGTACCTATTTTTTTATCTATTCCTTTTAGAAGAGTAGTAGGATTTTTTTTTTTTTTTATCTTCTAGGTGTTTTCTTAGTAAATTAAAACTTGTGTGTTTCCTGTTTGTGTTTTAAAAGACATTGAGTTCTGATTTATGTTTAGTGATGTCACAGGCAATCGGCTTTTCAACTGATCTTCTCAGATGCAGAAATAATTTTAATAATTTTGCAGCTGTTAACATTTCCATGTGGTTTGCTAGTTTTTTGTTATGTTCCCTTAATTTCAGGGGGGAAAAAAAGAGTACAGAATTTAAGCCAGATACCCAGGATTAATTCCGATTATCTGAAAAATATTATGTGTAACTATCCGTGTAAAGGAGACACATAAATCACATAAGAAGCTAAATGTTTTTTAGATAATAGATTTAAAGAAGTAGTTTAAACAAGAAATGTTGATATTGTTTATAGACCCATTTGAACAGCATGGGTTATTACATTCTATGTTTTCTGTATTTTTGTTCTGTCTGCTTTGATCAAAAACCAGAACACAATCTTATTTAACTTCTTCACTTTCTTACTGATATCTCAAACTCTTGGCCTCAAAATCCTGGAAAGGCCTCTTAATGCAAGAGGTTTTTTGCCCCTTCAAATTTCTGAATTTTTTTATCTATCAATATGATAGATATGGTGATGCATGAACCTATTTTTTTAGTAGTGCAAGGACTCTTATTCATGAAAACATACAGAAAAACCAAAAGTGGTCACAAGTTTCTTTTACTGATATTTCATTTTGGGATTATTTCTAGAAAACTCTTTCCTTTTGGATTCTTACTTGCCAAAATCTGACTCTGCTTGGTAAATCTTTCCCCAGTAAAAATCCTAAACCTCTGAGCACTTTTACTTGTAGGATGGGTTCTGCTACATTATTTTGGAAGCAGGAAATTGCCTTTTTTTTTCAGCTCTTGTAGCATTTGAATAGAGGTTGCAATTTGACAATACAAATTAATAGATTATTCTATTTCTTCTATTTCACACTCTGCTTCGTTGTCTTTTTTTGGTTTTTTTTTTTGCCTTTTAAAATATTCTAATAGTTCTAAATTTAAAGCAAATAAAACTGAAATGAAGGATCACCTTGTGGGTTTGTTCCCCTTTGGGCTTCACATATACTAGGAGTGTGTCACTAGTTAGAAATTCTAGTGAACAGTGCTGGCAGATTTTCTAAGCATGTAAATGTGTAACAGAGACATGCTTTAGACATTTAGTCATGCCTGCGTGGCCAGAGCAAGGGAGAGCTCTACCAGTGCTACAGAATTGTGCCCGCACAAAGGGCTTCTGCATCTTCCTGTAGACATTCCTTGTTCTGCTCTCCCATGGTGAGTGAGCCCTGGCTCACAGCTGGACAGAGGCATGGTTAGCCACATTTGTATAACCCATGCTCTCTCTGGTTGCACAACATGGTACCATGGCATGTTTCTTAAATAACTGTTAAAAGGGCCATTAAAAGCCATGTATTATTTGTATTACTACATTCAGGCCAAAGTAGGATCTGAGGGGGAAGAGAATGCAGTGAAAAGTCAATAATTTAAAAATTTATGATCTTTCCAGACAGTTTCATTGCAAGGTTTCATTCAGAACTGCTTTTCTGAGGCTGCATTATTCATCTGAAATCTGAATGCTGCTAGTGCTACTTTTCTTTCTGGAAGAGTAGAAGTTGTGAGAAAACTGAAGTTTATCTGTCTTATTACTTAATTCTAAATGGTGTTGCTACTGATTAATGTAGTTTAACATCTCTTATCTTTGAAGCCTTATAAGAACACTGATATTATAAAACAATTCCACATGGTAAAAAATAATCTATCTCATGTCCAAAAATGTCATTGACATCTTTTATCTTTGAGGAAACAGGATTTTTATCTCAGGATAACCATTGCTTCGTGTACTGGAACTTGGCCCTGGGGATTCTGTTTATTAAGTTTATTAAACTTTTTGCTACATTTTAATTTCAATGGAACATGGGCTCAGAAGAACAGCTATTGGCAGATTCTGTGGGACTCAGTCACTAATGTTGCCTTGTGAATTTAGATAGACGTGGCCATAGTTGCTTAAACAGAGGGACAGACATTGCTTTTAGACGAAAACTTTTCCCCTGATTCATAAAGCTTTTAAACTCTGATAGTGTAAATGAATGGTTTAGTTTATTTGTTCTTTTCTTCTCAGCCTTATTTGAGGTGAAATACCTAGCCCTCACCAAAAATTTACTTCAGCAAAATCTGAAAGGTGTACCCAGAGAAAAATTGTAGGCTAATGAATTTATGGAAAAAATATTTGTTGTATGACTCCTCCAGTATATTATAGAGTAAGCATGAATTTCATGCTATGCTGGATATTACTCTGAATTTGAAAAGTATGTTTCACAGAAACAGATTATCTTGTGTATTTTAGACAAATGCAGAGTTCAATAGAAATTCAGAATGCCAGGAAGGAGTATCAAATTGATTTTTCCTGGTTCCAATAATTTATAAAATGTGAGAAACGTATTTTTTCTGCAAGATTAATGCTGCTTCAAGGAGAATTTTTTCTGTACAAAGTCACCTGAACATGTGTCTATAAGCAAATTGCAGGGGCAATACAGGTAATGACCAACAATGGTATTTGTTGGCAACGGAGTCACATGTTCTTGGAACTTCTGTAATGATGTAACATCCCTCTATGAGGTTTTCTTTGAGTTTCCTTCCAAATATGCCCTAAACCAGGGCAGCTGTTCATCTATATGACAGGGTTCTTTGGCCAAGAATGTCTGTACTTTGACAGAATTGAATCTTTGGTGGAAGGCAGGCAAAAAGAATTTAATCTTTTCTGTCAAGTGAGGATACTTTATTAAAATCACGTGATCTGGAGTTTTGATTAATACAAAGAACGAGCACATGAAAAAATTGTTAGATGAAGCAACCTGATTCTGCAGCCCTCTAACAAGGTGTGTCTCCATATTTTCTGCCCACATCTCATTTCCCTCAGTTCTGTGTCTTTCATCTCTGATCCTAATAAGTGGCCCCTGAGGCAAATGAGCTCTGTGTCTTGTTAGCAGTTGGTGGAGTGGCTTACCAGAAGGGCAGGCTTCAGCAGATAAGAAGACTGAATCCTGAGCAAAGAACAAGTTTATGGCAGTACAACCATCAAATACCAGATACATTTCTGGAAGGTAGCAGTCCTTTTGCCAAAACTCTTCACATTTTTTATGAGAGCTAATGGGATTTACAGTAGAAAAAAAAGTGGCATCATGCCAGTCTGGACTGTGTTAAGCTCCATAGTGACTGCATTGGTTTGGAGTCACTACATGGAAATAACAATCTGGGTTTGTGTAATTTAGCATGAAAATTTTGATAAATGTAGTTTTTGTAAAGATGGGGTGTCTAAATTATACAACCAGGATGAACCACAGACTTAAAGGAAAGGAAACTGGAAAAGACCTCAAGACTTCATCTTGTGCATTCTGAATCTCCAAAAGAGAATCAAGAAATGAAAAATTATCTAATTGTCTTTACTGTTAATAAGATTTTCTTAATATTTAGCATAATCTTCAATGTCATAGTTTGAACCCATCACTTTATGCACTACAGATAAAAAAAAATATAATTCCTCCTTACCTCCCTAGAGATACCTTTGTAGATGAGGGTTCTCATGCGTTTAGTTGTCATTCTGCTCTTTAAACTGAGTAACTCAAACTCTTTCAATCCCTCTTTCTTGTGAGTTTTCTTTTTTCCCAAGACAACTGACCATTTTCTCTGCTTTGCTCTGGACTCTTTCCAGTTGGTTTGCCTTCTCTTGGAACAGATTTGCTTGAACAGGACACAGTGCTACTTGTTGCAGTGCTAGACAGAAATATAATAGGAGGCATTCCTTAATGTATCAACAAAGTACACAGTCAAAGCAGCCTCTCTTCCTAGTATGCAGTTTGCATTCTTGATATGATGAAATGCTACTTATTCATGAACAACTTGTGACTGACTGGTACCCCTCTTATCCCTTTTTAGGCAGAATGGCTGCCACATTTTTATGAACTATTATTTCCCCTTAGAACCTAACACTTGTAAATACAACTGCATTGTAATGTGTTTTCTCCTACAGATAATTTGTCTTATTTGTCAAAAGCATTCTGAGTTTAATGTATCATGCAATGAGTTTACTGTTCACATGGGCTTCCTGCTATCTATGAGGTGGAAGGATTGTTCCTTTATCCAAATCATTAAAGATCCACACCATTACTCTGCCCAGAATGGACCCAGCTAGAATCTGACTTACTATATTTTTTAGTTAGATAGTGAATGATGAAAAACTAATCTTAGTCTGTGGTTTTGGTGTTGGGTTTTTTTGCTTGGATTTGTTTTCCCTGTTTGTTACCTACACCCAGCTAGTTTTTCACTCTTCCAGAAACAATTTCACTTTAATATACTTTTGAAAATGTTAGAAGTCAATGCTATAATGTCAATACCATTATTAAAATTAAAACATATTATGTGACTTACTGCATCTGTATTTTTAAGACTTCTTGCCATGTTACAGAAATTAATGGCCGATGTGCCAAAAAATATAAAGCAATGTAGTTTGAGCATCTCCAACCTTTTATGAATAATCTATATTTTCATTTTTTCTAGTATTTTTTCCAGAATTGATCCTTCTTCATTTCTTGACTTTATAACGCAATGTAGCACTGTGTTCACCACTACACACATTTCTCACACAGCTTCTGAGGGTTTTCAGACAAAGCAAACAGATCTGACTTTTCTTCTCTCCATTGCCAAAGTACCTTAACATGCACTTCCTCAGGCCCAGGTGCCAGTGTGTATAACACTCACTTCACCTCTCCTGTATTTGTGCAGGGATGTAGTACATCAACTGTGCAGGGACACAGTACATCAACCACAACTAGAGAGGTCTCCTGGAGACAGAATGTAGTGGTATAATTGAGGATGATGTGAACTGCAGTATATTCAAATTATTTTTGGTCCTGTTTTCTTCCTATTTTAGACAGTTTCTTTCTTGCTGAGTTTAGTTATTAGTCATGTAATTACAGTTCACCCTTTTATGAAGAATGATGGAAAATGTACATCAGCCTTCTGCAAGTGAACTATCACTAGGTTTTTCTTTTCCTTCCAGATTTGTTTTCTTACTATCTCTTTATATCCATTGCTTCTTGCAGTTAAAGTTGTGCTTTATCCTTTATGATTTGGTTTCAGCATCTACTGCTATTCTTTCATACTGGTCCTTAGGAGTTTGACCTGGTTTCCACTTTCTGTACATTTCCTTCTTGTGTTTCAGGTCACTGAAGACTGTGCTTCTTAGCCAAGTAGCCAAGTTGGTCTCTGACTATACTTCTATCCTCTTACTGTGTAGGACTGTTTGTGTTTGTACCCTAAAAACAATTTCTTTAAGGAAGTGCCAACTCTACTGAATTCCTTCTGCTTTAGCCATGTCTCCCATAAGAACTTACCTTCCAGTTCCCAGAGTTTATTGGAGTTTTCTTGCATAGAGTTCCTTGGGTTTGAGTTGATCTTGCCTCTTGTTCTCCATCTAAAAATAATGCATATTATCACAACACAGTTACTCTCAACCAAACTACCTTTGCCCTCATATTCCAGACCATCCCCTTTCTTGGTTGCTTAGCAGGCAGCCTCTTGGCAGGCTGCTCTTGAAGCACTTGGCAGTCTCTACCAGCTGCTGCAGACCCTGCGCGGGGAGTGGTTAAATGCTGGTCCTTATACCTAGAGACAGGCTCAGCACAGTGCTTTGGAAAGGGCAACTGGAGATGCTCACCTAAACATCCTCAGGGAAACACTGGCAACTTTTAGTGGGGCTTTTAATCAAAACAGAGACAAATATTAAGTGTACAAGGTCTTTCAAATGCTCACCTGTGAAAGCATCTGTGTGGATACAGAAGCACTTTGCCCAGCCTTAGAGATCAGGTAAGGAGAACACAAAATCTTTCCCCTATTTCCTTTCCATCCCTAGGCATAAAATTAAAATGACATGTTTCTCTGGACTGACATTTCTTTGTCAGAATCTTTGTTGTTTGTTTAGCATCACTCAGAGGCAGGGGAAATCTATACTGAGGCTGTCTGATTAGTGAGTAAAATTGGATTGTTAGTAGCTTTTCCTGTCACCATGATTTTGTAAGTGTAGGCAAATCTCTGCAAAAAAGATATTTCTTTTCCGAGTTGGTTGGGTTTTTTATTTGTTTATATATTTAGAAACTGACATCAAATATTTTGAGGCATAAACGGAGACATTGTTTAGCTTTTCAAATCACACAGTGATGAAATGAATCTACAGAGGATTTTTTTGGCAGACTACTATTCATTGCTATGGCTTTCCTCAGTTAAGAAGTTGATGTTACAGGGATTCTGGTGTCTGAAATGAAATGACAATGGCTTTCATTCACTTTCTGACTTTATTAAGGGTGGTGTGCATCTTGATTCTTCTAAGTTCAATACAGTTTGCATCTACATAGGTTTTTGTCAAATTTCCAACATTTCAGCAGAACTTTTATCCTCAGGCCAGATATCTGCCTGAGGATATTTTTTAATCCCTTTGAACAAAAACAATTTATTGATTTTTATACAGGAAATCTGTGCTCTTTTTTCTTCTCTTAAATTATTCCAGCAACCTTTTCTGTAAGAAGTTCAGGTACATTGCAGATTTTGAAATAAGCATTTCAAAAATAAGGTTAAGAGTTTGCTCTTGCACATTCTCAGTGGAACCTCTTCTGCACAGGAGAATAAACAATTCATTTTAAAGAACAAGCATGAGCAAGATTTTGAGGGTGAAATTGTTGGGGATTGCTGGCAAAATAGATTCAAGGAACAAAATCAGCAGGAAAATGTGCCTTGATGACTAGTGTGAAAATTGATGTAGGAGGGAAAGAAAAGGAAAATGTATCAGTTTAGTTTGGGAGATACTAAAATAACTATAGAAGCTGCAGTGTAGAGCCTGGAACTAGCTGAGAACAGAACAGAGAGTGAGAAGCAGTAGGGCTGTGTGGGAATCTTGGAAGTAGAAGGAGAGACAGTTCTGATGAGCTGGCCTCGGAAGTGTGGTTGTTGGAGGGGGGGCTGTGAGGCTGACTGAGGAGACAAAGGGAGGAGTCTGGCAGGGGGAGCCAGCAACGAGCTGGCTTGTGCATGAGGAAGGCTGAGAGCAGAATCAGGGTGAGATCTGATGGGTGTTTGGGAAGCTGGAAAACAGGATTTGCTGGGCGAGCTGCCTGGGGACGATATGAGGAAGGCTTTTGGAGGTGAGAATTTGCTGGAGACTGGGTTAAAGTTTTGCCTGAGGAGTAGAAGAAGGGACTGGGAAAGATGGGGTCACACCTGAGCTGGGGGCTAAGGGAAAAGCTCTGTTGCCCGTGCAAATAAGTATGTGTTGAGCAGGAGTGTGGGAGTGCTGCTGGGCAGTGGAGTGCAAAGAGGTGGGGGTACCAGGAGAGGAAGGGTCTGGGCAGGCCATGCTAATGCTGGGAGCAGGGGAAGCAGGGACAGGCTGTGCTATATGGACCATTTTCCTTCAGTGCCAGGAATGGCATCCCGCATGACCAAGTCTCACTGTTTTGTTGCTGCCAGCAGGTTAAACTGGTGAGTTTGGGACTTGTCACTGTTGATGCTGGGTTTGTTCAGAAGATAGCAATCTGCTGCCACTATTCGTTATTCCATTAGAGTAAGTATCATTAGACTGGTCAGGAGAGCTGATTCAACCCTGAAAATGAGTTCTGTGCATGTTGTTGTGATACTTCATGAATACTTTTGTTGAGTACCTTTTCAACTCTTAGTTTTTAAAGAAACAAAATACTTCACAAACTTCATATGTTTGGTTCAGAGGATGAACATGTTCTTGAGACACTCAAGGGCTGTCCAGTAGGATCCCCACTATCTGTCAGATGAAGGAAAGTGTGCAGTGAATCAGGCAAGAGTTTTTAGGAGGAGAGCTTGTATTCTTTGTCTGCTATGATAATCCCATGGGGTGTGGGGTACCCACCTTTTCAGAGACTCATTGACTGACCATTCTCCATTTTCTGGATACTTGAGCAGAGTCTGGAAACCAGATTTGCAGATTTTTAAAGCATTTATATCTGTAACTGAATCCACAAGACTATTTTGAACTTAGAGTGTAGTGTAACATCAAATGCTCTGAAATGTCAAGTCTTTAGTTTCAAGACTGTTCTGCCAAAAGCCAGCAGACACTTCATTTTATAGTCTCTATGATTTAAATTATCAGTTTAATCCTGCTGTCTCCAAACTTCTTAATTTTTGATACTGCATGTGTCACAGTATGCTATAAAAACATGTTTCATAGAAACAGACTTTAAACATAACATTTCTGCTGAACAGCTTGCCCTGCAACGCACAGGAGAGCAGAAGGGAAAGAAAGAATAAGCCTAAATTCATGTAGGAAGAGAGAAAAAGGTGTACACACATTTTGTCAGTAAGTGTCAGGATGTTTCAGGCAAAGAGGTTATTTCTGTAAAAGAGCAGACAACAAATCACTGGTAATAGGTGTTGCACATGATTCCTCTAAGGGAGTCTTTGAAGGAGTATAAAAAAGAAAGAAATGGGGAGTAATGAGAGTAGAGGTATGGATTCAGACAAAATTAGTTTTGGATCCTGAAAATAAAGTTCAAAATCTAGACTAAAATGACAGGAGAAGTTGGAAGAGATAGGAGCAAAAAGGAAAACCATTTAAGCAGAAACGCTTTGTATTCACTGGAGTGTAAAGAGGGAAAAAGAGGTCATAGCTGTCATCAATTATGGTTAAGGGGTACTAGGGGTGGGGACACAGGGGTATAACAAGGTGAACAGCAAACAGGAGTTTGCCTGGGGTGGTGTTCTAAGTAACCAGGACTTTTACGAGCAGTTTTGACTGTACTATTTGGTGTGCAATGGCAGGGATAAATGAATCAAGATTGCACAGGGAGGTGAAAAGCAGGAGGGGACAAAGAGGATCTAGGACTGAGACAAGGCAGGTAGACCTGAATGGCAAGGAAAACATTGCTATTACTGACATTAACTGAGAAGAGAAACATGGGAGGGGACACTAAGACTTGTGCAAAGGCAGAGAGTTAGTTATACATGTGACAAAGCAGAGGGGTTGTGAGGCCCATCTGCTATGAAACAAGCTTGGTGGGAGATCATTCACTGCCACCCTGGCCAGAGTGCATTGTTCTAAACTTTTCTTCTATGCTTTCTTTTTTCTCCTTTTTCCTTCTTTCCAAGTTTTTTAGGCTTATCCAGATTCCATAAAAGAAAGCAGTGAAGTTTGTTCTCCTGTGATTGATTTTGCAGGATTTAAATGGCAGTTGACAAGTGCATGGAATTTTGAATTAAGTGTTTAGATAAAAAGGCCCCACGGCCCATTACCAGATGTCAGGCACCAAAAGCAGTAACAGGGCACTGCCCAGTCCCCTGGGGCTGCTCCCCCTGCCCACAGCCCAGCACCCCATGTCAGCCTCCTGAGACCACCAGTGCCTGCCCCAGTGATGCTGCAGCAGAGCTGGCATCCAGCTTCCCAGGTCTCAGCCACGCTGGGCCCACCCACGAGCCAGCTCTTCTCGCTGAACATATCTCTCAGAAAATCCAAAGTCAGTGGCCTTTCTGGCTGCAGTTCCAGGAAGGAAAAGAAATACAATTTTGATCACATACTAAGGGCCGGATTCTAGTGCAAGAATGACTGCAGTGCATATAGTCTCATTCCTTTTTAAACATCTGTGGTAATTTATTGGGAAATTAGCACACTGTTTTCTATACTCATTTCTTTGAATTTGTTTTTCTTCTTCACTGAATTGTACTTTGTGTCTTTTTCAGTCCAGTTCTCAACCTCCCTTTTACACAACTTAGAGCAGGCTACAGAAACTTTATATTTCCCTTGGGCCCCAGCTCTACCACTTTTCCTTGGGTTTCTGTTTCCTGCCTCTCTCTGGGAGCTTCACTGTCAGACTTGCTGCTTGCCTTTCCCCAAGAACTCTTTTTTTTTCTCTTTGTTTTGGTTCTTTTCATCCCCAAATTGGCTCTTCCTTTAATTTGCTCTTTTGGACTGGTTGGTAACACTTTTAGCGCACTGGCATCATAACTGGTGCTGGCATCCCTGAAAGGGAAAACTTTTAGGAGTGATTTTAGGTGAAAAATGTAATGGCTCTGTAGGTGCTTCATAAACTTAATCCAAAAGGGGCAGCAGAGGAGAAAGCAGAAACTATTTCTTTGTTATCAAGGGCTAATGACAAGAGGGGCTACCAATATGATATATCAGAAAGTAAAGCTGAGCTTTTAATACTGCATGAGAAATTATAGATAATAAAAAACTTGGAAGGTAAGACAAGGAGATGACATGGAATTAAGTAGAAAAGGAAAAGCTAAAAGGCAGGCATAAGAAGTGGTATAATGAGAATAATAAGCAGATTAATGACGGCATCAAGGAAGGTCTCACTACAGCTGCTGAGACCAGAAGGAAATCTGATGCAGTAATGGAGGGCTGAGGTGACCACAGAACAAGAGTTTTAGATTGTGCTTGTAATGGAAATGGTTGCTTCATGCCCACCTCAGTGCTGTGCTGGTCTGTAGGACACCCTTGTCAGCCTTTTCCTCAGGAGCTCCCAGCCTAGCCCATATGGTGTCTCCCCACTGAGCTTCTACCCATTCTCACCTGACACCATTCAAGCCTTGCTGCAAATGAGATGATGTCAAGTGCTGTCTCTTATTGGCAAAATAACCCAGATCAGACACTTTTTTTAGCCCTTGGCTGTCTGTAACTTGTGTGAGTTTCCTAACCCATTACTGATTTTCCACTTCATGGACAGGCCAGCCTGGCTGCAAAAGCTCCACTTTCTGGGGTCTTTCTCCCTCCTGCCCACCCATCACAAACTGTACAGAAGCAAGTGTGCTGCAGATTTGGTCAAACAAGGGTCTTGCTCTTGCAATTCCCTCTGATAGAACAGCACATGCAGAACTGCACCCAGAGCTTGGCTTTTCTGTTCAGGCTGTTCTTGGGGGCTTTCTACCCTTCATCCCCTCCTCACCTTCTATGTACCCATGTACATATCAGTATGTATGTATTTGCAGTTGTCTTTTTGAAGGGATTAACAGGGCTTAAGTACAGAATGGGGTTCAGCAACTGAGAATGTTATCTGTTTTCAGAGATTTTTCCCTACCTTCCACTGAGCTGCTGTACTGGTGCTTTCTTTTTCTTCTGGCTTCAAATGTATCAGGAACACAAATAAGTATTGTTGTAATTTCATTCTTTTAGTCTGGAAAGTTCCACTTATCAAATGGGTGCAGAGGATCTCCCTACATGCTCAGCTCTGACCAAGGTATGTCTGTGAAAAACTAGCTTGAGACACACCTTTCTACGTTTATTATCAGAATACTTTAAATCATTATCAGGCTGCTTAGTTAGTTTACTTGGAGCAAATAATATGCCAGTGTAACTGATATTAATGTGTTTTGGAACTATTCATGTGTGTGTATATATATGTACACATGTGTGTGTACATGTGTTTCTGTACTTGGGTAATAGGTGCCCCACAAAAAGACTTAACATTATTCAACATTTCCAGCTATAGTACTTCTTATTGTTTATGAAAGTATAAAAATATTTTAGAGGGGTTTTTTTTGCTAAATTTCTTTGAATACTGAAGATTTTGCAATTGCAATGGTTCAGAAGCTCCAGGAGAAGGATTAGGGAATGCTATATTAGGAATCATTTTTTCAGCAGTTCAAGGACAGAGCAGTCTACAAGTGCTACCTATGCAAGGCAATGTAACCTATTCCTTTGGTTCCTGTTCTGGAAATAAATCTGCATGGCAGGGGGAAGAACTTCAGTCTGAGTGTGTATGTGTTGGGTCATGTACTCGTGTGACTATTATTAAAACATGTTTGACTGAGTATTTCCCAATTGAAAGAATACTAGAGATTTTCTATCAGACCTTGTTTTGGTCAGGGGGAAAGGAACTCATTATAAATCCAAAGCTGGTGGTTGGACAAGTGTGACTGGTTGTGGTGTAGCTTACACAGGCTCAGTTAAAGTACAGACCACTAACAGACATAGAGAGGAAGGTTGCAGAAGGTCTAGTATCACAAAATGTAAAGCAAGAATGAGACAAATGAACCAACAAAAAGCAATTTAACAGAAAAAAAATATCCCAATAACGTCATCATATGACAATTTTTTGACACCCCTGGAAAAGTGCAATACAGAGGTAGAGAGCAGAGTCAGAGATACAGTGAGTCCCACCTGCTATGCACGGGATGTGCAAGTAGATTGCCAGCCACCTCCGTACCCAGTGTACCATGTAGAAAAGGAAGATGTTGAGAGTAATGAAAAGCATAAAATTGTCAGAAATTTCTTGAAGTAAACAGGATGGGAAGAACATTTTATGGTCAGCAAACTTGACAACAAAGATATGAACAACAGGATACAATGTTTTTAGCTTCGTTACTTGCAGTGTGTTTATCAGGAAGAAAAGAATCTTTGAAATGGAATTGTAGAGGGCCCTGGTGGAATTATCAGCAGTGCAAAGAAGGCTTGAATTCAGTAAATATTTTTAATTTTATGAGGACTTCAAGCCTTTTTGCCATTTTGTATGCACATGAGATGATTGGCATTGCTTTCTCCAGTAATCTATTCCCCATTTGTTACCACTCTTTGCTTGAACAATTGCTCTGGCTGTTCCCATATAGAAACTTTGGATTGTAGTACAGGAAACAGATGTCACCAGACTGACTTACTATTTTTGCTTGGCTTTGGTTGATTTAGGCAATAGCACTGATATAGTGGACTTAGAAGTGTATAAAGCATTTGAAATGACAGCATGTTATGGCTTAGGAGCTAGAAAGACATCAAAACAGCTGGATACACACTGAAGAAATGAAACACTAATTAACTGACAGGCCTTAAAAAATCTCCTGATAGCAATGCTTCTGAAAGGCTCCTGCAAGAAGGAATTCTGTGGGGATAATTCTTGCTCTCTGGCCTGGCTTACTCTTTAGTAATGACCAAAAATGAGTCCAAAAATTATTTTTGATGTAATTTGCAGAATCCAGTAAGACATGCAGATATTAAAAATATCAAGTCATAGCTCTCTAAAGTTGATTTATAACTATGTGATCTGAAGAACAAGGAAAAAACCACAGTGCAGTGTAAGGCTCTTATCTGGAAGATTTTATGCTTAATTAATTAAAAAAAATTTAAAAAAAAAATCCATCTCCCTCTCTGGTTCCCTCCACTATGTACAACAAGAACAGTGCAGATTAATGCCTTATATTAAATTTTTAGGTTCTTCTTTTCTGGAAATATGTAAGATTCAAAAAGATATTTAGATCCCTGTCTCCCTGTCTCCTGTTTTGTTACTTGTCAGTAGAAGAGGTTTCTGCTTGTTTGGTAAGTCTTATGATGCTGTCTTTCCTTCTTGCCTGGGAGAGCCCATACTGCTGCCCTTTAGTTACAGCAGAAATAGTCTATTCAGTATGAACCTGTTGTGTTAATAGACTAGCCATTCCTTTACTGATGAATGCCTTGGAGTTACCTAAAATCACACTTAATTCATGGCAGGAGGAGGGAAAATGCAAAGAGAAATATTAACTCATTACATCTTAAACAGCAAGCACAATTACATGGGAAAGCCATAAAAAATATAAGGAAAAGTTCATCTGATTTACTGACACTGACACCTATGGGCAAAGGTGCTTTCCATTTTGGATTTTTTTCTCCTTTTCAATTTCCAGGTCACTTGTCCCTCTTTGACAAAATGGCTCTCAGAATTTTCTTTCCTCCTCTTCCTCAGGTTTCCCTTAGGTGATTTTCATCAGTGGAAACTTTGCATTACACAGAACTCTATACTGGGGTCCCACATCTGAAAACATCTTCCGAAGAAGGCTTTGGACTTCACCTTAAGGTAGCTTCATGTCATGTTGACCTCCCTACTTGAGGGCAATGTTAACTCTTACTGCCAGTCTGCCCTGTGAAGTTTTCTAAGGAGTCCAGAAAGATTTCGCCTGTCAGCTTGGAGCTTGTTCTATCCCTTCTTATGGTCTGATTGTTCTCATGAATTTAATTAAAGATTCTTTTGTTTCCACAATTATGCATAAGTCTTTGAAGAGGAGTTGTCTACTGTGTATAAGTAGCTCCTAAACAGCTTCTTTCCCCCAAGGAAGCAAGTCTCTTCTATTTCGCTGTAGTGAGTCATTGACATGTTTCCATAAGAAATATGTCTTACAGCAGACCTTGTAGTCCATTGTTTGCATTTTGTTTCTGAGGCCTCAGCTTCTCAGAAGGGAAAGAATCCTAAGAAAGGATTTTTAGTGAAAAGATGTCTGCGACACTGACTGACTTTAGCTGGCCTTGAAAATGGCCTCTGGTGCATTAGGACTCAAGGATCACATTGTGAAATGAGAATTGATGTACAGTGAAGGAAAGGTTAAAGGCAATCTTCCCATGACCTTTCCTGTAGCCCTTACAATGATCTTATACAGCCAAGAAAATGAAAAAAAAAAATAGGCTAAATGCTGCTGCATCTAAGAGTGCTGCATTAATTTTAATTACTATTGTAATATTTTATTGTAAATATGAGTAAATTTTTAATACAGAGATAGTGAACAGTGTCCCTCTCCATTCCCTAGGTCATACCTACTCTAAGAGAGATTTAATTGTCAGTAATGCTGCTAACTCTATGAGTCTGCAGATATTCTGGAAAAAGTGTGTGATATCAAAATCACATATCAGGCCTGAAAGGAGGAACCCTTGGCTCAAGTACAGTTTCAGCAGTGTAACTGGTACTGCCTCCACTGCTGTCTCAGAACACACCAGAAACCAGAAGTGCTCCTATTGTATCTTGCAAAAACAAAATAAAATATGAAAAATTGGGAAAAAAAATCAAATTATGCCCTAAAGGAATCTAGACAATGATGTGTTTATTGCCAGCAGGTTCAGGGTGAAAACTTGAGAAATAGGAAAGGAAGACAGTGCTGTTTGGCTTTTTTGAATGTGCAGACTTTATGGAACAGAAAGAGAATGATATGTTTGCCAGTAGTTATTGTTTTGCACCTAATTTTGCAAATTCCAATAAAAGCATGCTGATGAAGAGCTCTCTACTGGGGGAAACAGAGTAAGATTGCACAGAGGATTTAGATAGGTCTCTCTCCATGAAGTCCCAGGGGAAAATTATTGAGCACAAGAGAGAATATCTGCTGTGTTGGACTGCCTTCTTTCATTCTGTCTGGGAACATGGAACAGCTCCTTTTCTGTTGTTTACCACTTTCTGCATTTCCTATCATACTGAGCCATTTTGGGCCTCTTCTTCTGCAGCAGCAATGGCAACAAACATATATACCATGCAGGGTCTTTGGAGGGGGAAAAGGGAGAATTCATATTAGTGGTGTGGATTCTCTGCAGGAATAGGGAAGAGTTTCTCCTGCAATTATTTATTTGTCCAAAGTACAAAGCTTCGGGGCAATAAATGGAAATAAATTCATCCTGAATGTGTCCTGGTCTTTGCGGATACACCTGTTACAATTTATAGAGATCTTTGTGTTCCCAGATTCCAAAGATTATAAAAAAATACAACTTTGTAATTCTAAATGAAGTTATTGCTCCCCAACAGCTTTCAAAGACAAGGGAGGAGTATTTGCTCATAAGCAGTTAATTGTTCTGAAAAAAGAACAAATTTTGAAAGACTTCAAAATGGACATATTATTTATCTATTTGGTATAACAATATAATTGTGATGAGTCTTTTCCATAAGAGATTTTTTCTTATTAGCAAAATCTATTTTTATACAGCTTGAAAAGTCTTTTTGCTGCCCTAAATTCTGTAGGAGCCATACATGTTATCTTTGTTATATCAGTCATACAAAATCTAACCTGAATTATCTTTCCTTGTTGACAGAAAGACAGATTTCCACTTTAGACACCACGTCATTTTCCTTCCTGCGAGAATAACATGAACCAGAAGGTGTTAGTTTTCCTTCTCCCAAATTTTTTATTTGGAATATTTCTTTTTGGGTTTTTCTGCAGGAGACAAAAAAACCTAACAGGTGAGTAAAGAAATTACCAAAAATATTTAATGTGTAATAGAAAGAGACACACCTTTTCCAAATGTGTTAGAAAGTAACTATAGAGCCCAAGATAGAAACAATATTGTGAAAATATTCAAGGCCTAGTTACTTGTCACTATGGAAGTTATCTCAGAAATATATGAGAGGAGAGCACTACAAAAGCATGATATTGGAACACCAAACTTGCTTAGACTAGTACTGCTAACATACTGAAAGTTTTCATTTTCGTAAGTGTTTCACTAGGGAGGATAGTCTATTGCATGTTTGCCATGGTCTAGTCCAGTTACAGTAAAAACCAAAAAATTTAGCATCTTCATTAGATTTTGTATGCAGTGTGATAGAGTGCTATGATTGTCACAGATAAAGAGATTTATACAAGCCTATTTCACTGAAATGGTTTCAATTCTTCCTTGGTTACAGATGCTTTTTCCAATCCTACTGAAAATTGGCTGACAATTCAAAATGGTCGGAAAAACACACTGGCTTCTGTCTGCCTGAGGAATAACCTCAATAAATCAAGAAGCAAATTGGATTCTCATGTTGCAAACCAGCTCTTTGTGGAGCACAAACATAAATTTATCTACTGTGAGGTGCCTAAGGTAGGCTGCTCCAACTGGAAGAGAATTATTTTTCTTCTTCAATCAGACTTGAATGCAGAAGCTTCTGAAATTGAGCATGACAACATCCACCATACCCAACTAATCAAAAGGCTGGTGTCCTACCCTCCTGCCTTACAAAAGGAATTTCTAAGCAATTACACCAAAGTGATGTTCACCAGACATCCCTTGGAACGGCTGGTTTCAGCTTACAGAGACAAACTCCTGCACTCTGAACCATTCTACAGTACCACTATTGCTAATGAGATCAGGGCAATGTTCAGGAAAAATAAAAATTCTTCTGAAAAAGTGAGTTTCCAGGAATTTGTCAACTTCATTATGGCAAAACCACCACATACTCTTGACATTCACTGGAAACCAATGTTTCTGCTCTGTGATCCTTGCAACATTCACTATGATATTGTGGGTAAGTATGAAACTCTTGGCTTGGACTCTGAGCATGTTCTGAAGGTCATTGGTGCACCAGAGAGCCTGCAATACCCCAGCTTGAAGAGATACAGCTCAGAGAAACGAACTGATGGTGATATCACCTTAGAATACCTCAGACAACTGACCTCAGAACAGATTGAGAAGATAAAAAAATTGTATGAAATGGATTTTTTTTTGTTCAACTATACTACAAAATACGAGGATTATTTTTCCCTCAATGACTAATGTAGGTTAAACAAAGAGAAGTGTCCTTTGTACAAAATGGGCAGAACTTGTCCTCACCAGTGCTTGATTGATGGGTTGGTGACTGCTGCTGAGATTATCCTGGAGTTTGTATATATGGTTTATCATTGTAAGCACCCTTATATAAAATCCCTGCCATGATCTCTTGTTCCGTGCAGACCTTTCCCTATAAAAATGATTGTCTTCCTATTGATCTTTAACAGCATATGTTGATTTCATGAAAAATGTTCATAAGTGATAGATTTTGGTCCATTGGTAAAAGACACAGGAAGGATTAAGAATGTTGCATTTCACAATTGATATTTTAGAACACCAGTTTTACTTGTTTTTTTTAATTAGAAAATTTGCATAAGAAGCAATAAATTATCTGCTTGAGAGTTAAACCTCTTCGCAAGAGCCTCGATCATAAATGCTGTAGGAAAGGAGCAAATACCTTCAGATGCTTGAAGCTGCATTACACAGAACCTAATGCTAGGATATCTACCTATCTAGCAGTGCTCTGATCACACCCATCAGCCTCATCCCACAAGCAGCACAGTTGTCAGCATCTTAAAACTCTTCTGATGCACAGATCTGGCATTCGTGGTGACCTTACAAACTCTTTTCACCCATTTTGTAATCATTTTAGCAGAAGGTCTGAAAAATGCATTGGAGTTTCTTTAGAGAAGTAGTTAGAGATACCTTCAAAACTGTTCAGCTGGGGTGGTGCAAGATCTAAAATCTCAGTGGAAAAGTGATTATTATTTATTCTCCAAAAGCACTTAACACCCAGTCAATGGACAGGCCAGTCAGTGCAGTGGGGACAATGTTTGGGCTTTCCCATTTGTACTGCTGGAATCCACAAGCCCCTGGGACTTACCTGAGCATGGCACTCGGGAGGAGCTGTAACCTTAGATAATATTTTTGTTCTACTTGTTGCTTTCTCACATTGCAGGAGAATGACTAAAATAAATTGTGAGTTATGGTGAGGGGAACAAGGAAACATGAGAGAAGCAACTCAAACCATTACCCTCTTTTTATATTCCTTCTTATATAGGTGGCTTTGGTTTGAGATCACTGAGGGGCCTATAACTGCTATTTTATTAAACAAGAAATTTTCCCCTTTTAAAAAAATTGTACGTCAAGTTCAATTATTAATTTGTGACCATATTAATTGTAACAAATTTTAGCAACTAATTGTGACTATTGGCACCACCTCTAGGGGATGTCAGTCTCTCAGCAGCTAACTTGACAATCTCTCAAATGCACTTAGTTCCTTTCAGCTAAATCTGCAGATGCTTAAAGGCTGGCAGACTGGTCTTGGACCCAAAGCTGGCTCTCAGCTTCTCATTACACAGAAAAGGACAGATGCAAAATAAGTTAACCACAGAATAGTTACCAATCTGTACAGCCTTTGCTGCCAGGAGCATGGGCAAGGGAGAGGGAAAAGAAGACTGTGAAAAATTGACACAATGGGGTTTAACTTATGAGGGTTTGGAGGAGCCCTCCCAGTTCAGGAAGTGAGTTGCAGGAATTATCTGCTCCAGTGGGAAGGTGCAGCAACACACAACATCAGCTGGAGACAGTGATCAGGCCACAGCAGCAGGAGAGGCCCAGAAGGAAATGCTTTCTATGCCCCTTGCCAGCAGATGGTACACAAGCCAGGACTAGCATTCTGTACATCTGGCAGGTCTTGCCTGGCTGACTGTTTCCTAAATGGAGCACCTTTGGCACAGGGAGAGATTCGAAGTGAGAAGACCAAGCAAGAACAGCAAAACAAGTTGGAAAAAAAAAAAAAGTTATGATTTTATGCAGAATGATTCATATTTCTGGATCTTACCCTCACCATCACCATATTTGGTGTCCCCATAAACCTGCTATCCCCTGATATCGGATTGTTCATGCTGCCCTGGCAACTCTGTAGCTCATGTAGGTTTTTCTTTTTCTTCACTTGTTAGTCTTGTTTAGTCAAAGGAAGCTGGAAATTACTCCCATCAAAGTTAAGGCTGTGCAGAAGGATGCAGTCTCTCTTTCCTGAAACAGAGCTACATGCTTCAGATCATGCAGAAGTGGAGGGGAATAAGATTTGCTTCATAACCCACTTCTACATGAGAGATCTCTCCAGAGCTATATCTGAAGCTGTAAGAATATCTAAAAATTAATGAGTGCTCTGGCAACCTCATCCAGCCTAGGAAAGCTCTGAAGAAATGATACTGACAGAGTTTTATAGATGTCTTTGCTATCAGCACTCAGTGTTAACACCCCCCTCCAGTTTCTTGCTGTTAGATGTGAGTGGCTTTCTATTCTTATTTTCTCTTTCACAGGTTCACATTTTGTTCCTACAGTGGTTGCAGAAAAATGATGGCTAATTCATTCATCACAAGCATTAGTCAGTAGCAGAAGGGTATCTATTAAAGCAGAAAAATCTCTGTAACTATTCACAGCAGGCTTTGAGTTTTGCCATTTGCCTACAGTGAACTGCAAGTAGCACATGCCTCAGCTCACTGGCTGCTGCAATGCTGTTTAGCTGATGTGGGTCTGAACAAAAAAAAAAGCAGCAGAGGACATATGTACGTGTATGTGTCCATATAACAGGGTGTACTGTCCTTCCTACAAGTGCACTGTCCAGAATAAGGCTCTAAGCTGAGCTAGGATCCCTCCTGACTTTTGCTCAGAGAATAACCCTCAGTGGAGCTTCTTTCCTTTGCTAACCCTTTGTGGTGTGTTCCTGGGAGGAAAATGGATTCTTGCAGTTGGGAGCAAAGGTGGAGGCAGTGTGGTGAGGCTCTGGCCCTGGGGAGGATTTGAATGGGGAGGGAGTGCCATAATTCATCTTTTGATTTATTGTTATATGCCTGAAATATGATCATTGCAATGTTCATTTCTGATTACCTTAATAAACTGTAGAGAGTTAACACATTAATCTATTTCTTCATCCTTCTCAATAACATCTGTTTGAAAAACAAACTTACCCCAAAATTGTTCTATCAAATCAAAACAAAGGCTGCACACTATTGGGCAACAATCAATACAAAGCTGCTTGCTTCTGTTTTGCTACATTATTATGTCTGACTCACAGAAATTTTAAAGAATTGAAAGAATTAGCAAATACTAACGCATGCTCCAGTTTGGAGAAAAAATGCAAATAAGTAGAATAAAAGAAAGAGAAAGAAAAAAATCTTGCAAAGTCAAGCTAGCATCTTTCCCACAAATCTATCAGCAGTGAGAAAATAAGAGACTCATAAAAATCCTCACATATGCTTTCAGGATAGGTGTCCACAAACCTGACATCCCACTTCCTTCATGGAAGTATAACAGATCTAAGAGATGATCCGTGTCTGTCAGCAATGGACACCATGTCATCAGGTGTTCCTTGAAGAAAATGTTTCCTCCACTTTAAAAACAATTATTCTACCTGCAAGCAGTCCTAATTTTTCACACAGTTTTGAACCTGAGTCTTAACAGGTAAACTGGGATTAGTGGTTTCTTGCTCAGAGAACTTCAAAGAGCAGGACAGCTGTGAACAAAATAAAAGGCGTGAGCGGTGAAACTTCAAATGTCTGGTGTTCCACAGAAGTGTCTCTGACTAATGGGAAGCAGAGGAAACAGCACCCATGCAAGTCATTGCACATCAGATAAACTGCAGAACTCACTGCTCACAGCTAAAGGTGATTCCATTTCTGTGTTTAGAGTGTTAATAAGTCAAAAGCTTTTAGCTTGATGATAGCCAGGGGTTTTTGGCTTGTCTGTCATACAAGTAGAAAAAGAAAATGAAACAGGAAAAGGCACCAACTCCATGACCCTGCCTTTGGCCTGAGATTATTTCTCTCTGTCACAGCAGTTCTTACCTCCCTTCCTTCCAGAATTATAATTTAGGACATGCTTTAGTATAAAACAAAAAGTAATTGAATTGGGTGACATACATAAATCAATGTAAACCAAATAAAATAAAAACAGGCAGAGAATTTACCTGATAGAAATGTCTGAAATTTCAGGAACTTCCTCTTGCAAGTTCTGAACAGGTATCAAATGTACACAGGGGAGCAGTTGCAATGATGCTTCTAGTAAGAACTATTTTTATAGAAAAAGCTCAAGTGATCATAGATCTCAGTCAGTATACTGAGGCTGATATTCCAAATGAATCAGCAGAGCAAAAATGAGTGATGCATAACAGGATCAGGTCTGGGAAAAGGAAATGGCTCCACACTATTTCAGCACTACCCATGTACACCTCACCTTTGTTCACCACTACAAAAACACTTCCTTTACATCTTCAGGACCCCAATTATGGCTTCTTTTGGAGATGTACCAAATATCAGCAAGATGAAAAGGTTTTCTCAAAAGTCCCATTCCCCATAACTCTGTAAAGCCATTGTTAACAAGATTATGCATCATTTGTGGAGTCCCATCAAAGGAGCAACAATCCAGCCACAAGTGGGGCTCAGAGCAGAACTTAGCATGAGTTCTGCTCAACTCTACCAAATCCAGGTAGGCACACTCCAGTTTCTATTCTGCAGCAGAAATAGGGGGAAAGCTCTTCATGTACAAATCTATAACTATATCCTGACTCTTACCTCACTTGATTGTGTTATCCTCTATTTTTTCCCAGATCTCTTCTTCAGCATTCCCCTGAGCTGCATGTATGGATTCCTGCTGAGTTCCCACAGCTAGGAGCCTCCAAACAGGTGCTACAAATACATATGTACTCAGGCACAAGTTGTTGTCAGGTGAATTTGCATTATTACAACTATTTTCAGAAGGCTTTTTATGTCAGAAAGTTCTTTAAGCACCTGCTCTACCAGTGAGATATTAGCTGCTACAAGCTGAGATGTAAATACAAAGTGAAGGATGTTTTGAAGGCATTCCACCCCCTTAAAAATAAGCTTGTCTTCTATTCAGATAGGTTTAGTGGTTAAGGAAGAAAGCTCTTTTGGGGATTTACATCAGGTGTCAGAGGCCTCTGTTAATCATAAACCAAAAGTTCCAGGAAACTTTCTCTCATGAGGGGCCATCATTCTCTGCAGGGTTAAGTTTTGTTTACCCTCAGAGATCTGTTAAGACTGGTCCTTAGGGATGTCTGCATGGCAAAAGAGCCCCTTGAGGTTTTAGCCTGAAATAAGCATGGAAAAGTAGAGTGACAAATTTAAGAGAGAATCCACCTGACACCTGACATTAAACAATTGATTTTAGGTCCAGTCTATCTCAGAAAGACAGCACAGGCAAGAAACAAACACAGGGAAAAGCAAACAAATTACTATAAGCAGATTATTGTCCTAATGATAACTTCTGGCTAGGAAATTTAACTCAGGACCCTGCCCACAGTGCCAGCTGCTGCCTGCAACTGGCCAGCAAAGCCAAACCACCACAATAGTTTATTCCTTTTGTCAAACAGCTTAGCAAGCCAATATTTCAGGCATTGCATGCTTGCAATGTTTCATTTCTGTTCATCTGTGCTGCTCTCCTTTTAATTCTCTACAGCTCAGGTGTTTTCCGGCTCTCCTGGAGTACCCAAAGCTGGATGCAAACCCGTGACTTTACAGATGCCACATAGATTGAATGTATGAACCCAGGTACATCACATATAATTAAGTTACCATTTATACTCTCAGTTCAGTGTTAATTCAATGCCAACCCTCGTAGGAACAAATCACTTCCTAGTGATTTAAAAATTGAACCACGATTCTCCATGAAAAACATCCCAGGACTTGAGATGTGTATTCTAATCCAAGCTCTTGAACCTGGATTGTTCGAACTCTCCAGCCTCATAAGGCCAGACTTTTGGACGTTGGGGTTTATTTCTGTTTCGTTTTTTTCCCTGTTGACAGCTAGGATCCTTGGAATTTAGGCACTGAAACCCAGGCCCGAGGTCTCTGGAGCAAGCGCCCAATTATCATCCGCGTCCATATGGGGCCATCTGGTGGCGACAGGGGCTCGGCAAGGGAGGCTCTCCCGGGCAGAGGTCCCTGATGGGTGCTATGTTTCAATTATACTGGTTTTTTTATCCTGAAGCCTTCTATCTCAAGACTCTCATGCCTGTTCTTTCTCTCCCTCTTCTCTCCCCTTCTCCCTCTGATTATCTTCCTCTCTCCTTGGACAAGAATTCCGTTTCAATTTGACCACTAGTCAAGCTTTCTTGTCCCAGTAGTTTTTTTACAGGTTCACCACAAGCTTTTCTACCTAACTTGCCCACTGGTGAGGACTGATCAGCTGCTGTCCAAGCAAGAACTTCTTATCTTCTTCTATGGTGAAAGCCTACCTTTTTAAAAATTTGTAAAAATTCTGGCCTGTAACAGGGCAGGAAAATACGGCATTATGGATTTGATTTACAACTAAGCTCTAACTGAACTTTATGGTTCCATTTTATATAAAATTATTTATGATGACAGTTAATATTCACTTAATTATATTTGGAAAGGCATTTGCTTTTGTGTGCTATGATTCAAATCCGTATTTTTTTCAGGAAGACATTTATCCATTCAGTCTCTCTAAATACCTCTTTATTAATTTTATCCTCATTTGACAACCTGAAAAACAGGTATGTATATAGATAGATGAATATGTAACCTGTCATTAGGCATTTTCTGTATAAAGTGCAACTTAATACCTCCGTTATTAATTTCAGCCAAAGTTCTGCTGAACGTGATGAAAGCTGAAATAATATTATTTTCCAGGAATCCATATACATTTGTATCAAAGTGAAAGTGTTTTCATGACAATTACAGACAGCTGTCTATGAGAGAAAAGCAATTTCTAGAATGAAAATGAAATCCAGCAAACTGCAATCAGCGTCCCTGTATCATCTCAGCCCAATCTTTCAATTTCTGAAAGTGCTTATACTCTCAGAGGCAAATTTTTTAAGCTCTTTGGCAAGAACCTTGATAACATTATAAGAGAAATAGGATTAATTATTACTACAAGTGATATACAGTAAAAAACCCACTACAAAAATATTTGCTACCAGTTAGTAAATATGATAACTAACTAATAGCCACACTTAGCAGCTTTGTAAAGGAAAACCCAAAAGTTGTTTCTTCAGCTTGATAACAACCCCATTAGGGAAGCAGAGGTCTTCTGCTTGCATTTTTGAAGAGGATGTGTGTTTCTCTTTGCTTCCTGTCTAGTCATCGGGCAGCCTTGTAAAATTGCACTTACCTGAGGCAATGATACATTGGATGCATGAATAAAACACCTCTGACAATTCTTCTTCATTTTGCTGCTTTTTTTTCCTTGACGTTAAATGCTATGTTAATATCTTTTATGCCAGAAAAAGCATGGAATATTTTTTCCCTGGTACTTTTGCAGGCCTACTTTGTTTATCACTGTTGACAAATTGTGCTACTTGTCCCATGGAAAAGTGGAAAACACCTAGAGTTCAGGAGGCTGAAGGAATGCTTGGTTGCTGTGCCACTTACTCTTTCTGAGGAATTTGAAGAATTCGGTGAAATATTGGCTACCCTTGACTCATGGTTATGCAGCTCCTTACAAGGAAGAATGGTTGGTTTATTTGTCTTGTTTTCAGTGTCTTTTTTCTAGCAATCTGCTCACACGGAAAGAGAAACAGATGGAAACCCAATCTAATGATCTACAATCCCAGTTTAGTTACTGAAGAGAACTCTGTGTGCTCTTAGCAATGGTGGAAGCAGCAGAGACAAAGACACCTCCTGGCCAGCTCCCTGCAGTTTATATATGGGCTATGATGTTCTGTGGGATGGAGCATCCCTTTGGCCCGTTCAGGTCAGCTGTCCTGGCTTTGTTCCCCCTGCCCGGCTCTTTGTGCACCTCCTCACTGGAGAGCCTGGAAACTGAGACACCCTTGGCTTAGGGTGAGCAGAAAGAGCCCAAAACAACAGAGGGCTGTCAGCATTATTCTCATACTGAATCCAAAACTCAGCACTGTACCAGTTACTAGGAAGAAAACAAACTCTATTCCAGCCCAAACCAGGACACTGTTTAAGAACCTTATCAGACATTTTGTAAAGGCATTACTAGTGACAGTAGTGTTGTGGATTTCAAAATGATGACAAAATATGGGTTCCCTGTTTTGCAGACAGAAGTAGAGACATAACTGAGTTCAAACATTAGGTTTTGTGCCGATATAAACTCTGCTGTGGCACCAATGGCCCTGCCGTGTCCCAGGCACAGCGCCTGGCCACGCCGCGGCCCGGGCACGGCCCGGAGCTGTCCGCGGTGCTGAACGGGCCCGCCGCCGCCTGTACCTCATTTCTTCTGCTTCTGGCGAGTTTCATAGGCCACACTTTTCCCTGACACGTTTATGATCGACTGGAGGAAGTAATTATGGAATGCACTCCTTTGCAACACTCTCCGCCTGAAAAAATTCCAATACCTGTAGTGAAAAACTCCTTGAAGACAGTGACAACATGGACATATTTATATTAGTGCAAAATTGGTTCCTATGACCTCAAGTGAAGAAAGTACATCTCCCAGGCAAATAAACATAAAGCATACAATATTTGATTCTGTGAAACAGAAATGTCAAAAACCCCAGAGAAAAGGTTTTCTTGGTATTTTTTTCAAATTATTTTACTTTTTATTCTCTCTCACATTACTGTTTTTATTCTATATTTGAGTTGATTCCAGAGACAAACTATCAAGACTTGCAAATAAAAATCTCTGTCAAGTTCTATGTCATACTGTGGTCTAGTCCACAAAGCTGGGCAAATGTGTGTGTCAACAAATGCTGGGAATACAGAGGAAAAAATGGTCTTTGTAAGAGACATATTGACACTAATTTGGAGTTATGGTCATGCCACAGAGCACCTTTATTCCTAAAAACCCTCTACAAACCATTTGGAGTTCTTTTGCACAAGCACAAAACAGAGCCCTACATTAAAATAAAGCTGTTTGCTTGTTGCTTAGTAGTTACTCCTGCTTAGATTTTTTTCTTAAATATACACTCATGTGGCATCATTCATCTCACTAGTGTGTGTCTATGACCTTTCAGGATATGTTTGATTCTTAATGCAGCACTGTCAAATGAACTGGCAAAGCAAACTGTGCAGACAAAGAAATCTTAGTGTGCACTTAGCTCCCCTACCTCCAGCATCCAGGCAGTCAATTGCCCAGTAAGAAGTTTAATGAGTTTTCCAGAGATATCCCTCATGCAAAGGGAAATAAAAGGCTGTGACTGTTGAGATATAATTTTTGGCCACATTTGAGTAGTAACACCATTAAAAAGACTATTTCAATTCAGCTACTATGCCGGGTTGTTATAAAAAATAATAGTAGTCATGGTTTCTGTGGAAAACATTATATTTAGCTTAAATCTTCATTAAAATCTAGTTATTTTAGACTTTTGGTTTTGTTGGGATTTTTTTCCCATAATCTACTGAGGTTTTTATAATTTTATTTGGATTGCATATATGGGGGCGACAGGAGTGGCTTCCTTAAGGAGCTGCCAGAAGCTTTCCCTGTGTCTGACAGAGCCAATGCCAGCCAGTGCCAAGACAGATCTGCTGTTGGCTGAGGCTGGGCCAGGCAGTGATGGTAGAAGTGCTTCTGAGATAACATTTGAGATGGAAATAAGTGTAATTGTGCGAAAGTACTTGCAGACAGAGGAGAGAGAAGTGAGAATATGTGAGAGAAAGAACTGCACAGGCACCAGGGTCAGTGCAGGGGGGGCAGAAGGTGCTCCAGGAACCGAAGCTCACATTCCCCTGCTGCCCGTGGTGCAGACCTTGGTGGGGCAGCTGTGTCCCTGCAGCCCATGGAGTGGGTGCAGAGATCCTCCTGCAGCCCAGAGGATGCCAGGCTGGAGCAGGTGGATGCCCAAAGGAGGCTGTGCCCTGCTGGAAGCCCAGGCTGAGACGGGCTCCTGGCAGAACTGGAGCACCCCAGGAGTGGGGAGCCCAGGCTGGAGCAGGTTTGCTGGTTGGACCTGTGGCCCTGCGGCAGATCCAGGCTGGACACTGTTCTTGAAGGACTGCAGCTCATGGAAAGGGACCCACACTGGAGCAGTTTGTGAAGAACTGTGGTTTGTGGGAAGGACTCGGGCTGAAGAAGTCTCTCCTGTGGGTGAGACCTCACACTGGAGCAGGAGAAGCATCTTTCCCCTAAGGAGGAAACAGCAGCAGGAACCACATGATGAACTGACCATAATTCCCATTCCTGTCTCCCTGCATCTCTGAGGGGGAGAAGGTAGAGAACTGAGAATAAAATCAAGCCAAGGAAGAAGAAAGGGATGGAGAAAGGTGATTTTTAAGTTTTGTTTTACTTCTCATTGTCTTAGTCCAATATTGATTAATAATAAATTCAATTAATTTCTCCGAGTTCAGTCTGTTTTGCTTGTGATGGTAATCAGTGAGTGATCTCTCCTAAGCCTTACCTCAGCCCATGACTTTTCATTATATCTTCTCTTCCCTGTATAGTTGAGGAGGAGGGTGATAGAGTGGCTTTGATGGGCACCTGGCATCCAGCCAGGGCCAAACCACCACAATAGTTTATTCCTTTAAATGTCTCAGAAGTGGAATAGTCTTTTGCTGAAGATGTCTTTTAACAATAGAACAATGATTTGTTCTTTAAGCTCATCCACAGTTTGAAAGATTAACAGGTGAAATTAAACTTCTTGAAACAGTCTGTCTGTATTCACAATGAGATGCAATCCCCCTCTTCTTTACACTATTATAAACCAGGACTAAGTCCACAAAATTTGATGTGTCAACATAAATACAGGCAAATATGTCCCAGTATTCTGAGGGGTTACAAATGGCTAGTCAAAAATAACAACTATGCTTAATTACAAAATTTTTGTGTGGAATTTCTGCTAAAATGCCAGCTGTGGAAGATAAATCCTTTATTTAAGGCAAGAACAGGGAAAACATTAGCAGAAACTGTGAGAGTATCTCAGATGCTCTTCTGTGGAGCTACAGGAAATGTGAGGAGGGAGCGCACAATCCACATGCCAAACCAACAACCTGCAGCCAGTGATGCTGCTGCCTGCTTGCTCCTTTCAGCACACGTTTCCTGACATGCAATACTATACCTAGGGCCCTTTCTCCTCCCCCATTTTATTTTGTTCCCTGGATATGTTGGCCCCCAGGGCAGCAGTAAGAATGTGAGGGATAAAGTAGTGGGAGGGAAGTGACAAGAAAAGGCATTTCTCTTCCACTTTCATGACGAAGAAACAGCATGAGGTGGTGCAGATGTGGGAGAAAAATATTTTTCCTTCCAGGTTTTTTTCTCTCTGGTGATGTCCACCTTCTGTGTAGGTCCTTCTTTCCAGAGTATTTCCCTACCCTTTCTTGTAGAGTAACCCTATGCCCTACACACCAGCAGACATTTTGGTAGCAGGGATGCTGCGCACTGTCCTTCCTCCCCTGTGGCCTTTTCCTTTGTGTCCTTCCTCACTGCCATAGCTATCACCTCGTGATCTCAAACAGTAGCACCCATTTTTCCAAGGGGACATTGGCATTTGACTGTGCCTGAGGTGTGCTGTCTCCCTCTCTCCAGTTTAGGTATGCGAGGTAGCTAAATAGTCGGAGATACTTTGCGCAGGCGTGACTTGGAAATGCAATTTTAATTCCAGCCACGAGGGGACCTTCATAGTTTATTGTCGCTTTCCTGCAGGTTCGTCTGATCCATACACTAAGATCAGTTACAGTTTTGCTTCTTCTTAGGTAAAAACATATTCCCCACTTTTTCTTTTTAATATGGTTTTTATTTATTAGGTGTCCAGAGTTTACATCAAAAATACATAAATGTCTTGCACAGAGAAATTTGGCAAATAGCCAACAAAAATTAATCCCAAAAATAAAGAGCTCTCAGCGCAGCAATAGTTTTCACATCATATGACCTGTGTTTGGAGTCTCATTCTCCTCTTGCATGCAGCAGCTGTGTACTTGCATAATTTGATCTGGTTGTGTTTGTATGACAAAAAGAGGATGTGACTATAACATGCACTAACTTGCTCACTTTTTCTAATGAGCAGCAAAGACAGAATAACTAAAACACGTGGCCAGGGTGCCCAGCCCCTTTGGGGATGGTGGTGAGTCACTGAGGCTGCTGCTGTCCCTGCTGCTGCCCCTCTGCCAGCTCCACCAGACTGGCCACGTCATCACCTGCTCTGCTCCCAGCTCCTCTGCCCGCAGAATCCCCGGCATCCCCTGGCACAGCTCTCCTGACACCACTCCTGAGGGGCAGGCAGCCCACACACTGCTTTCCCCTTGGCTTCCCGGGAAGAGATGTGCTCTTCATCTCAGCCACGGAGGGGAAACTCTGCCTCAGGCATGAATGGTGTGCGTGAGTTGGGATCTTCCCTTAGGCACGGCCAGCACTTGGGCCATGTGCCTTTCTTCCAGTTCTAGAAAAAGGGCCTTTCTGTATAAAAACACACCCAACTCCTTTTCTCCCTAGCTATATCCTGAAAGAGAAATGGTAACTACTAACAAATACTTGTGTTTGTTGCATCCGAGAGAGACTTGCAAATCACAGCACTCAAGCACTTCTCAGGCATTCTGAGGTCATGCTCAGCATGGAATTGAAGGAGGTGGCGTTTCTCAGCTATCATGCTCGAAGGTCTCTGAGAAATCTCATGTGGGCAGTGAACAATATGCATGTACTACACAGGCCAAGTTAAACCCAAGGCTCCTCTCTAGATCATATTTAAACCATTGTCTTAATGAAATCTTTCTCATCTATTTAGAA